CTCGCTGCTTCTCGGCTCTCTCAACTCCGACCATAGAAACTTCCACGGATCCGCGGCGTTGTCGGGCTACGTGCGGCAAATCCTTAGCAGAATCCCCGGATTCCGCGCGCTTTAAATCGCTTCTCTCTGCCTGCCTTTCTCCCTCCGCTCCCCGCCGCGCGCCCCCTCGCTTCACGGCCCTGCTTCTTCTCCGAGTAAGCCCTTCTTGTTCTTTCTCTGGCTGGCGGTGTGTTTCTCGCCGTTCCACCGTGCCTCGTCTCGCGAATCCTCGGGTTTGTTAGCGGGCCGAGGTAAGAAGTAGGGGGCGCTGAGTGCTGCGTGGACGAGTGCGAAAAGGGGACGCGAGATGGCGCGTCCTTGATACGGGAATTTCGGGCCGTGAGAGGTTATGGCGCATTGCCCTGTTGCGTGGATTAGAATGCTTTTAATGACGATTAGGTTACTTTTGGATTTACTGGCAAACTTTTTACTTTCTCCGTGCTGGTGAATAGCCCCAAAAATTGTATTGAAACGAAAGTCCACAAAAATTTTCGAATAAATTGAAAAATTAATTTTCTTTTTTATTTTTACCTCTAACTTATGTCACGTTAACCTTGTCGAGGGATTTTATACTTTTCGCGTTAGGTGTACGTCGTTGCTCGTTTAATTTATTATACGAACGTTTTGAAAAATTTATTTTCGTTTTGTAAAAATTATTTTTCGTCATAGCTTGTATCGAGTGTGACTTCGTTTGTTGGAGGATCTGTATTTAGACTTTAATACCTCGTGCTTTTAGTATTATCTCGGATATTCTGAAATAGCGTGTGCACGTTGTTTATCAATCTCTATCTATACGGTATCGAGCAATTATTTGTTCCACCACGTAAGATCCTTATCCGCTCTCTTACAATGTTCCATGTTCTTTATCAGCCACGAAATATAACCTCTCGATCATCACCGTGCTTGTCCAACTATCTCGACATTGTATTTACGCACGAAGGCGTTCGTTATCGGGGACTCGTCATCAATTACCAGCATCGATAGGGCTTTCGATCGTCGTTCTGATCGATAATAACTGTTTTATCGTTCGATACTTCATTTAATAATTATAACGTTTAATTTAAATTACAATATGTTATCTCTTGCTTGTGATATAATATTATTATAATAATATCTTACATGCCAATAATACATTGCCGTTATTTTTGAAACGTTCATTGATTCGGCTCGAACAACAATCGTCGTCGAATTACAGATCTCTCCGCTTAGAGCGTCTCTGCGTCGCCCATGCTCATAGGACTAGGTTAGGGGCGCGACAGTCGCGCTAGTGGCGCGAAATTTGAACATACGTAATGTATCAACGCTAAATCTACGAGGATTCCAATAGTAATTTTTAAATTTTTAATTCAAAATTCGCATTCACGAAAATCGTGTTCTGTCTGAATTCTCGCTACCGTCTGATCTTCGTCTTTCACTTCTAACTGTCGTTTGTCTTGTCTAGTCTAGGTTTGCGGTGATTGGTGGGAAGTGATTGTAGGTAGAGGAAAAAATATAGTTTTAGATCGGGCAAGGAGTTTTAGCAGGACTTTGGATTTGGAGAGGGAAACTGTCAGGGAAGTTTCCCTTTGGTATTGTTTAGTTTTAAGATTTATAGGTATGAGAGTTTTAGATCGGGCAAGGAGTTTTAGCAGGACTTTGGATTTGTAGAGGGAAACTGTCAGGGAAGTTTCCCTTTGGTATTGTTTAGTTTTAAGATTTATAGGTATGTCTGTTTAGCGTTTTGGTGGGTCAGTCATCCTGTCCGTTAGATCTGGTCCCAAGTACTGCTGTCCATAG